CTGTCCAACTGGTTGGATGCAGCTGCCATTTCCTGGGGGAGGCAAGATTGCGAGAGCAGGATGTGTGTTGGGCAGGTACCTAGACTTCGTTTAACCAGGTTAAGTTTGAGATGCTGTGTCAGGGAGTAATTAGTCTTACTTTTCCCTTTGTAAAAGAATATCCTGAGTTTTGGAGGGCTTTTTGGCTTCCCAACCAGAGACTATATTTCTCTGCCTCCCTTTGCATAATGTATGGCCACGTGAGTAAATTCTTGCCAATGGAATGAAGTGGAAAGGGTATGTATTGCTTACATATGACAAAAATGAGATTTCAAAAGAAAAAGAAATGGAGATTTTTTTGGTAAATCTTTGGAAGCCAAATTTTTACAATGTATTTTTCCCTGAATTATATCATAGAATCTAAAAAAAACCCCACTCCACTTCATTAGCTGGCTCTAGTTTTAGTAGCCTGATTAAAAAGAACTCCATGTGATTTGACAAAATAGGTTCTAGTTAGAATCCATGATGGTGCTTGGCCAAACAACTTTTTTTTTTTTTTTTTTTTTTTTTTTAAAACAGAATCTCACTCTGTTGCCCGGGCTAGAGTGCCGAGATGTCAGCCTAGCTCACAGCAACCTCAAACTCCTGGGCTTAAGCAATCATCCTGACTCAACCTTCTGAGTAGCTGGGACTACAGGCATACGCCACTATGCCCGGCTAATTTTTTCTATATATTTTTAGTTGTCCCGCTAATTTCTTTCTATTTATAGTAGAGACGGGGTCTCTCTCTTGCTCAGGCTGGTCTCAAACTCCTGACCTTGAGCAATCCACCCGCCTTGGCCTCCCAGAGTGCTAGGGTTACAGGCGTGACCCACCATGCCCGGCCGGCCAAACAACTTTTATCACTATGGAGAGTATATACCTGCATTTTAGCATTTAAAAAAATACACCAGAAAACCCGAGGGGGTGGAGCAAGATGGCAGACGAATAACACCGCCAGACAGAGTGTCTCTGCAGAAAAGACAGATTCTAGCAGAAATTAGAGAGAGACGATTTCCTTTTCCTTCATTGTGTTATTTCTTTTCCATATCCTGCGCTTTTGTGGTTTCTTTGTGTTGGTTATTGGTTGCTTGTTTCAGCTCAGTGAGTGTTCTTATGCTCACTATGAAATCCTCTTCTGTCATATTATGCCTGATTTTGGTTGGTGTCCGTTTCTAGGGGGTTGCTCTCTTTGGGGGTGTGTTTGTTTGGTTCTTCATTTTCCTGAGTTCTTTCGCTGTTTCTCTGTCGTGATCGTTTTTCTTTTTAGTTATTTGTTTGGGTATTCCACTTGTTAGTTTTGGGCATTGTGGTGTCTGTGGGTGAGATTGGCCCTGTTATATAGGTGGCCGTGGAAGGCTGTGCAGCTGGTCCTGTGATAGGTGCGTTTGTTGGAGGAACAGTCTGGTGTTGATTTTGTGTCCTGTTATCAGCTCTTGTTCTGGGCAGCTGGGTTGGTACCTGCCTCAGGCATTAGCGGGGTCACCGTTCGTTCTGCTTCCAGGGAAAGCTGTCGGGGCGGGGTTGGAATGGCCTGGTTCAGCCAGAAAGTCTGGGTGTGGGGGTGGGGCTGTCTGAGACCCGTCGTCTGGAGCGGGCCTCGCTTCTTTCTACCTCCCCAACTCTGCAGCTACTCTTGGGCGTCTGCCAGCAGGCCAGACCACAAGCCACCAGGCTCCCCGGACTGTGATGCCGGAGGAGGTTCCCTGCGCCAGGGAACGCCACCTGGGCGGGCGCACGGCTCCTCCTGAGAGGAAGTTCGCCCTCTAGGATGCTGATCCGCCCCTGGAGGCACACACACCTCAGTAGGCTGTTCACTCTAACCCTTCTGGTGCCCCGGGCAATGCTAGCCCTCGGTGTAGGATCTGGTCGCAGGTCCGCGACCTCTGGGTCCCAGAGTTCAAACTGTATCCCCACCAGGGAGAGGAGTTCCAGTCCCAGTTCACCCACAGGGAGCCCAAGCTGTGTCTGTGTCTCTCAGCCTCTGAGTCGGCACCGTTCTCCTGGTCACCGTGCCAGCAGCACTGGGAGGGCTGGCGGCTAGGAGCTCCCACGTCTGAGTCCCTTGTCAGCTGTAGGGTCCAAAAGGGAAGGTTCCGTTCCCTGAGGGCCTCTGGCTGGTGGCTGATTGGTCTCTCTGGGCAGCCGTGGGGAGGAGGAGGCAATATGGCGCCTGCCGTGCGGCTCGGGTCTGTGCACACGGGGGTCCGAGTAGATTTGGAACCGGTGCCACGTCTGCTACAGGCTCACCACTGGCTGCGGCGGCCGTCTCTGGGCTGGTGTCCGCAGTCTCTTCACCTGCTGGAGCCCACCAGCAGTCCCCAAATGCAGGGGAGGGGAAACAGCAAATCCACCTACCCTTGCCGCTGGTCTCCGGGCTGCCGCGGTCTCCCTCCAGTCCTCCGCAGCCTCCTCCCGTGGAGTGTCCCGGGGTCTCAGGTACCCCTCCTTCTGGCCCTTGTTCGCTGTATGCTCGTCTTCTTGCTTCTTCCTCTC